TGCTGTTTTTTTGTGTGTCTGTTTTTTTTCCGCGCGGCGGATAGGGGCGGCGTGGTGATGCATCGCCCGACGACGACGACGACGATGACAGTTCAGTTGTGTTTCTGTCATCCGCTTTCCACGCTCTCCATCTCGCCCCGGGAACCACAACCGGTACACTTCACTTTTCAAGGGCAAATGCAGCTCATAGGAGCTCTGCTTGCAGCCATAAGGAGGTCCCTCTCTCCCTCTCTCCCTCTCCTGAACGGGGAAGTGTTGCACAGTCGCACTCCAACTCGAGCCGGGCTTCACGCGTTAGTTCAGCCGCCTGTTGGCGCTTTGAAAGCCTCCGGGAGATCAACGCGGCCTCTGATGTGTTGGCAGCAAAAGCGGCGCATGGATTTTTAATGAGCCCGCTTTCAAATGAGCTATTTATATCAGGTACAAAGTCGGGCGGATGAGAGACACCGACTGACAAGCTGCAGGGTTCCTTTTGTAAGTGTGAGGCCGTGCACATGAACAACCTTGTGTTATGTATGGTAACAACGCTTGCAGCAGGCAGGTAATGTAAGCGGAGAAGACGTCCTCCTTTGTACGGCTGTGACGGCTGGGTAATTCTCATCAGGCGCAGAGGGAGGGAGGCTATTTTTACCTCAGACAGCAGTGTGATGGTGCAGCGAGATGAATGAAAGACCTTGTGTGGGCGGCATAGTAGCGTGCGAGCAGGTAGGGCTCACAAAGCCTTCGCCTGGTTAAAAATCCCCCCCTTTTTTTAATCTGATTTGTGTTCATCTGAAACCGATGGGCTGCGCTGGGAAATTATTCTGCAATCTACGTGGAATTGTTCTGTTTTCATTCCAACGTCCACATGTTAAATCCTAAAACTTTTCATTTCATCTGGCCGTGCTGGAACGGGAACAACATGTTTCAACTAATCCAGATGCCCTAGAATCTCACTTTTGGGGTTTTATTTGCGTATTTATATAAATTCATTTAGGTCATTGCAGACATTTCACAGCAAGAGACGATCAAAGCTAAATTTACTAACTTTGTTGTTTCCAGTGATTGAAGTTATGCTTCATTTTTGTTACTAACTAACTATCTTGTAGTAGCTTAATCTGCTCATAAAAGATTATAAAAACAGCTACAGGTTGGTCAACAAATTCATCTTTCATTTCGAGCTTAAGCTATTTTTAACATCCGTGTTTTGTAAAGTATTGAATTTTAAATTAATTTCTTGCAAAATGTCTACAGGAAAGCTTCACAAATGCTTTTTGTTTGCCTCTACTGTGTAAAACCTTTAGCTGGTATCTAACTTCTATCTCTATTCCTGTTATTTAACCACTTAGTTTCTACCTGGACACCTAAAATATGTAGAAGCTTCTTCTTCTTCTTCTTTCACTGTAAACACTACGGACTCTATATAGCGTGCCGGTATTACTTTAACCAGCTCGTTTTCATCTGGTATGCGACCCGATGTGTGTGTGTGTGTGTGTGTGTGTGTGTGTGAGTGTGAGCCCCAAAACTCAGGGAGTGAGTGTGATCTATTCATTGTTGTGTGTTCTTGCTGTACTACCGGGGTACTATATGTCACATGGAAAACAGGCGGCTTGCGCCTGTCATATTTTCCAACTGTCCGTCGCACAACCATCACAAAAATACGAAGGGTATTTCTTCATTAATGGAATGACGGGATGAAAAGCCGTTGGGAACGCAATCTCCATTAATATCCGCGTTTGGGGTCCTT